GACACCATTCTGGCTTAAAACATTTAAAGCTGGTTTTGAGAATAAGCAGCCAATGGTTCCCGGGATTTATATTCCCAATTAAGGAAAAAAAAAATTACTTTTTTTTTTTTTCTGTTTCTTTTTGTCTTTTTTGAGTCAGGGTTTTTTCTGTTCCGGAACTCACTTTGTATACCAGATTTACCTCGAACTCACAGAAAACAGCCTACGTTAGCCTCCCGAATGCTAGGATTTCAGGCTACTCCCGTCACCGCCTGGCTTCTAATTTTACTCGCTTAAAATGTTGATTTTTGGAGGGTTTTCTCTTTTTTCGATTGTTTCTTTAGCTGTACAGAAGCTTTTTAGTTTTACAAGGTCGTACTTGTCAACTGTGGACATTGATTCCTGGGACAATACAATTCTATTCAAAAAGTCCTTTCTTATACATGTAGAATGTAAGGTACTACCCATGATCTAATCTGACATTGTCCACAAATTGAGAACTGTGATCCACCTGCAGGGTAATACACATGGATCTAATTTCATCCATCCATATGAGAACATTCAGTTTTCCAGAACCACTGGTTGACGATGATATCTTTTTTCCAATGTGTGTTTGTGTTCTCTTTGTCAAATATGAGGAGTAGAATATCAGTTACTGGGGCTGGAAAGGGTAAAGGGGATAGTCAAGAATTTGAATAAAAAAAAATCTAGGCAAGGTAGCCATCGATTTTGATGTTGGATCTTTGTAGTGTTGACTTTAAAATATCAGGAAGAATAGTATATTAAAAAAAGCACATACAATAGCTTGACTTTATTGCTATTAAATTATATCAGTATAGCAGTGTTCTTTAATACAATGGAATGAAATGAGTTTGAAAATTAAGCTGAGTGTGGTGGCTCATGCTTTTTAATCCTAATACTTGGGAGGTAGAGGGGGTGCATCTCTGATTTCATTGCCAGCCTGTCTACATAGTATATTCTGGGACAGTTAGAACTACATAGTGATACTCTTTGCTGAGCAAATTCAAAACCAAAAGATAATGACATTTTCTTTGAGTAATTATGTTAGTTAGTTAAGACCATTTTCTATTATAGCCAGATATATACTATCCAATGTGCTTTTTTACCTAACTGTTAAGTTAAAAAAACAAAAACAAACTTACAGGGTCAGACACAGCCTGATCATCAGAAGCCTCTGAAGATTTTGGTTCAGGATCAAAGCTTGGCAAAGCAACCACTGGATTAGGTGATGGATTTCTGTAGTGTTGATTTGTAGTCTTGAATATATTAGAAATAGCTATATGTAAAAAAACAAAACAAAACAAAACAAAACCACAGTATAATGAACACATTGGTATACAATTGAGCTGAACACTTGAATTTAAAATTAAAATAGTAGAGGCTAGAGAGATGGCTCATCCATTAATTACATCTGCTGCTCTGGCAGAGAACCTTGGTTCTCCTCCTAGCATTTATGTCCGGTGATTAACAACTACCCAATGCAGTTCTCCGGTACCAAGGCCCTATTTTTATTATTTGTGGGCACACATGGTACACACAATAGGCACACATATATACATATAACAAAAAAAAACCAAATAAAGAAATCTTTAATATTAAGAGAGTATAGTAATACAGTACCTGGATTGAGTAAGTCACCCTTTTCTTCCTCTGAAGATGAGTTGGGGAGACATGTCTTCAAAACATCTGCAAGAATATATTAAAACTCATCACTGAAAGGAAATATAATAAAATAATAGAATACTGTCTAAGAATAGGCATATACAACGAATAACATATATTTATGGCACTTAATGGTGACAGGATTTCATGACTCAAGTTCTTGTTTCTCAAAAAATGAAGCCCACGCCCAATTCTCATGCCACATTTCACAGCCCTAGATTTCTGGAAGTTTCATTATATAGAGAAGCTGATTGGACAGCAGTCCAATGTGATTCTCAGTAGCAATACTTGAGTTCTGAAAGGGACTCATCCGACAGTTAAATGTAGATACTACTATACGACTAGTTTAAGAAGGTGAAATATACTACTCCAGAAGTCAAATTGGGCCTGACAGGATCACCAGATCATTTTCAGACTGTGATCTCTTCTCCCTGTGTGAATAAAGTTTTCTGATTATTGAGGAATCATATTTATATTAAGAAGGTCAAAACTGGATTAATATTTCCTTTCACAAGGAGGTAATGTCTAAGTTGTGGTTTCTATTGCTGTTGATAAAACACCATGACCCAGAGCAACTCGGAGAGAAAAGGGTTTATTTCATCTTATACCTTGGACTCCATCATTGAGGGAAGTCAGGACAGGAACTCATGCAGAGCAGAAACCTGGAAGCAAGAACTGACAGAGACCTTGGAGGAATGCTGTTTCCTGGCTTGTTCCCATGGTTTGCTCAGCCTCCTTTCTTATACTATCCAGGTTCACCCATCTAGGAGTGTCACCATACCCTATGGGATGGGCTCACCCACATCAATCCTCAGTCAAGACAATACACCAGAAGACAGCCCATATCTGATATGGGCAGTTTCTCAGTTGAGGTGTCCTCTCCTCTAGCCTGTGTCGAGTTGACATAAATCTTAGCCAACACAGGCAAAGAAAAAAAATTGTTCATTGAAACCACAAAATTATTTTTATCTCCTTACAGAAAGAAGTAGTAAAAAGTAACATAAATACAGAGTTGTTACATGATGACATTAATGAAATATTCTGTGACAGCTGTTCTCAACCTGTGGGTCATGAACAGTTTGGGGAATCACATACCAAAATCCTGGATATCAGAGATTGACATTACACATCATAACACTAGCAAAATTACAGTCATGAAGTAAGTAGCAACAAAATATTTTTGGCAGCAGGTCCTCATAATATGAGTAACTGTAATAAAGCGTCATAGCAGTAAGATGGCTGAGAACCACTGTTCATTGAAAACATGACAGAAAGCTAGGAATAAAACCTTTTTTTTTCTCAAACTGTTTGATAGCATGATTTTTCTGCTACATTCTTATCATCATCACTATTATTATTATATTATTATGGGATTTTGAGACAGGGTTTATCTGTGTAGCTACGGCTGTTCTGGTACTCTGTGTACAGGCTGACCTTGAACTCATGGGTATCCACCTGCCACTGCCTCCTGAACGCTGGGATTAAAGGCATATGCCACCATGCCCAGCCCTGCTACTTTATTTTTGAGACAGACTCTCAGTATACAGCTCACACTGGCCTTGAACTTTCAACATTTCTGGCATTATAAGAATGTGCTACCATTGTTGGACTTCAATCTTATTTTCAGTTTAAGTGTTAAACCATCAAATTGTTCCTACCTGTGGTTATACTTCAATAAACACACTTTTCTTTTTGAAGGAAAGCATGTTGGGCATATATTCTTTATAAAAATCATTTCTTTTATTTTGGGGAATTAAAATTATTTCATTTCTTCCTTCCCTTTTGTTCTTCTAAACCTTTCCATATACTTCTCTCCTTGCTGTCCTTCAGATGCATGGCATTCCTTTTCATCTACTATTGTCACACACATGGATGTTTGTGTGCGCGTTTGTGTGTGTGTATTCCTCATTATGTAAGTGTGCTGGCTAGTTTTGTCATATTGACCCGAGGCATAATCACCAGAGAGAAAGCGACCTCAATTGAGAAAATACCTTCATATCACTGGGCTGTACACAAGCCTGCAGGGCATTTTCTTAATTAGTGACTAATGGGGGAGGATTCAGCCATAGGGGGTGTACCACACCTGGAATGGTGGTCCTGGGTTATTCTTTTTATTAATTAATTCAATTTACAACTCAGTCATAGGCTCCTCTCTCCTGCATCCCCCCTCCCAGGATAGGAAACGCCCTTACCCAGACACCCCAGCTAATCTGTTCACACTAGGAATGAGTGTGTCTTCCTTCCCTGTGGCCTGGCAGGGAAGTCCTATCAGAGAAGAAATGATCAAAATCTAAGCAACATAGTCCATGTCAGAGATATCCCTGACTCCCCTAAATAGTGGGCCCACAAGAGGCCTAAGATACCCATCGGCTGCTTGTAAGTAGAGGACCTAATTCCAGACCATGCATCGTCCTTAGTGCTTCAGACTCCACAGGGCCCTCTTTGTCCTGCTTGATTGGCTCTGATGGCCTTCCTGTGGAGTTTTGTCACTTCTAGGTCCATTTATCCTTCGCCCTCTTTTCTGGTCGACTCCCTATGCTTCACCCAATGTTTGGCTGTGACTCTCGGTACCTGTTTTATATCCATGACTGAGTGGAGCCTCTAAGAGGACAACACTGGTGGGATCCTGTCTGCAGGCATATCAGAGTATCCTTAATACTGACAGAAGAAGAGAAAACAGGGTGGGCCTTAGAGTTGGGTCCAACACTGGCCGGACTCTCACCCATATATGCACTTAGTGTCTTTGGTACAGGAAGGCACCCCACATGTTCTCAAGAGAGAAACAAACAACAATCCAGCCGTAACCCCTTTATCTACAATGGAGTACTGCCAGCAAGATATGCTAGGCTAGCGGTGACACAAAGCGTGTGCAATAACTCAATACCTGATTTGACTTAAGATGGAACCCACATTTGACACTGTTGGATGACCAAGAACCTGAAACTAGGTAGCCCAGGGACCTATGGTAATAACAACTACTACCGTTCTAAAACAAACAAACAAACAAACAAACAAAAAATAGCATAGCAATCAAAGGACTCCTAATGTAACTCTGCTGTAGTCATAGATCAGTGCCTTGCTTATCCATCAGCAGAGAAGCTTCCTTCTGCAGCAAGTGGGAACAATTCAGAGACCCATAACTGGACAATGTACCCAGAGTGAGAGACTTTGAAACACTAAGCCCTAAACCGGATGTTTCCATCAAATCCCTTCCCTCAGGGCCTAGGGAGCCCTCAAGAAGAGGAGGCAGAAAGAGCAGAACCTAAGAGCCAGTGAGGACAGACAAGGAGACAAGGCCCTCTAAATCAACAAGTTTGATGCACATACAAATTCAGAGATTGAGGCAGCATGCACAGAGCCTGCACAGGGCTTCACCAGATAAAGTCCAAGAGCTTTAAGGAAAAGTGGACACATGCTCTCATGCCTAACCCAGAAGCATTCTCCAACTCATAACCAAATGCAAATGAAAATTTAGTTTTCTCAGGGACTTTCACTGGGGAGACTAACTATTTTTAAAGCTAAGCTGCAAGCTCAGAAAATGAACTCAACATATTTCTGGAGGTTCCTTGACTCATATCGTCTGTCAGGGTTCTTTTCTTCTTTTTAAAATTTTATCTTATTTTAACTTTTCATTTCACTTATACATGATTGTCCTTTCTCTTTTTATCCTATACGTGCTTTGCATAAATATTATAGCTCCCAGTTTAATGCTTTTAAGGGATTCCTAAGTGCCTGAATGAATGGATCTTTGCTTCTATATCAGTTTCTTGCACCCTACTGTGGGCTCTTTCCCTTCTCTTTTTTTATGATGTCTGATTATGATACGTTAGGGTTTCTTAAATTGTTACGCATTTTATTTTACTTTATTATTATGCTTTAAGAGCCTTTTGGTTTTCTAATGAAAGGGAGTGAATCCGGATGAAAGAGACATGGGGAAGAACTGGTAGTACAGAAGCGAAAACCAGAATCAGTATATATGTTCTATAAGGGAAAAAAAATCCATTTTCAAGAAAAGGATCCCATATGCACAAGCCAAGCAACCAACCAACTAGGGCGACTAGTGAGAGGGCTCAAGAAGTAAAGGCAATCGCTGCCAAGCTAGATGACTTAAGTTTGACCCATATGGTAGACAGAGAAAACCCATTCCTGCAGGTTGTCCCAAGACCTCCACTCACAGGCCATAGTATGCTCAAGCACACACGCACACTCATACACACACACACACACACACACACACACACCAAAATACATGTAATTAAAGCATTTTTAAAGTTGGGATCCTATCATATAAGACTTATAATGTAGTAAGGAAGGTCAATTTTTACTGAATTTAATTGTTTCTCCTTTTTTACACATGATATTTTAACATCTCAAATCATTACTGTGTCCCAAGCACATCATCACCAGGAATATCTTCAATTCTTACTAACTTTTAAATGGGTTAAAACGCCCTTTTCATGTGTATGCATGTGCATGTGTAGATAGGTACACGCATGTTCACACCTGTGTGGCACATGTGCACATGGGAGCCCCAAGGCTGATGCTGGAAGTCTTCTTCAATTGCTCTCTACTCTATCCACTGAGGCAGAGAATTGAACCCAGAACTTGCCAATAACACTAGAGTCCAGCCAGTCACTTTCTTCCAGGGATTCCTGTCTCTGCCCTATAAGAACTGGAATTACAGTGAGGCTGCCATTCCATCCAGCATTTACAAGGCTTCTGAGGATCCAAATTCCAGTACTCATGCTTGTGGCTTACACAGCTGGTGCGTTAGCTGCTAAGGCATTTCCCTAGTACTACCTGGCTTTTCATCTAAACTCTACAGAACAAATACATCAAGTACTGAAACTAACCACTTACAGTTTTTCCCAATCAAAGAAAAAAACAACCATCATATGAAACTTCATTGAAATAAATGCTTACTTGGAATGTCAGGTTTCAACATTGATGTCTCTCCAACAAAGATCAACTCATCATCTTCGTCTTCACTTTCATTATGAATTTCTTCAGTTTTATGCTGACACGGTTCCAAGTCTTCTTCTTCACATCCCATATAAAGATCTCCCATTTCTGAAGTATCTAATATCGAAAAGGAGAGAAACAACCCTTATTTTCAAAAGAAAAAATAGAGTTTTGTAATAGGGAGTATGCTAATTAAATATGAACTTTAATAATTACAAAGGAAACTACTGAATAAGTAAGTAACTATGAATTGACATTCCTAGAATGAATAACATATCAAGAATTAACTGAGAAAACAACCTGTAATATCCAAACTAGTAGCTCAGTGCAGAGGTTTACCCCAAAACCAAGAGTGGAAGTTAAATATAACTTGGTGAAACAATAAAGGCGTTTTAAATTTTAAATCATGAGGGATAAACGGTGAGAAAAAGAAGAACCCACAACATAGCAAAGACCAACTACAAAGCAAAAAGAAACAAGAAAAAAAGAAATTAGATTCAGTGATCTCTGTCTCTCCTTTTAACCAATTTCTCTCCTATCTATTGATAGGGGTGAAACCAGGGTTGGGAAGGTGAAAAAAAAATCCACATTGTAGCAAAGGCCAGCTACAATACCCCTAAATAATAATTGCTCACAAATCTTGGCCAGATCTGTGGCCTCTGGAGCTCATTCCCCTAGTAAATATTGTCTATAACGCCTTCACAAGGGTTAGACCCTCTTCTTGGAAACCTTAACTATACAACTTAGTTAAGTGTCTAGGATTCCTTATGGAGGAGGAGGGCCTCATACAAGTTCCTCTTAGCGACTGTTAACTGAGCCACTTTACAGTCAAACTTTTCTGTTTTACATTTATTTGTGAGGGCATTTTTCCTCCATCATGTAGATCTCAGAGACTGAATTTAGTTTATCAGACTTGGTCCCACTGAGCGACCTCACAGTCTCCACCCCATGTATTTTTAATTGCCTATAAATCCGTGGGGGAGGAAGAGGCCTTATGAGCTTTTCTTCCAATCATCTATTTGCCTATGAAACCTTGGGGAAGAATGTAGCCTCATGAGACCCCTCCTCTAGTAACCTTTAACTATCTACAAAACCTTGGGGTAGAAAGTGGGTCACAGCACCTTTCCCATTTCATAAAGAAAAGTTAATGAGCCAATCTTGTGTAGGTCTTCCTCAGGTAATCAAACCTGCTAAGAATTCGTGAAGGTAAAGGATTTGTCATTCTCAAAGGACACAGAGTTCCATAACACTTGACTAACTGTAAAGGAAGTTAAGATATATCCTGGGATACATGAGACCCTGTAACCAAAAACTAAAAAATGAAGAAAAAAAAAGGGGGGGTGAGGGTGCCTATCACCAACCCTGACTACCTGAATTTGAGTTAAGACCTACATAGTAGAAAATGACTCTCACAAATTGCCCTCTGTCCTCTGCATGTGCCACATGCCTGCGCGCAAATACTCACACCTGCAATAAATAAAAGAGAAAAAATGGAGGGCAATTTAAGGAGAGAAAGTGTTCATTGGATACAGCACTCAATGATCAAGCATCAGAATCAAAGTCCAGATCACAGAGACCACAGAAAGGCTGGGAAGATTAGCTGGATAGATGGTTTCTCAGTTAAGAGCACTCCTTGCTCTTCCAGAAGTCCTGGGCAGAGTTTCCAGCATCCAGGCAGGTTTACCAGGACAGTAGTAGGGAGACTGCAGAGACAGAATTCAGGTGAAGACAACATGATAAGAGAAAGAGGAGCCAGCAGATTAGAGTAGATTGCTGGAGATTGATTGAAGCAAGCAGAGAAATTCTGGGGATGAGAGAAGCCAGATTGAATAAGCCATCTGGAAAAAGAGTTTGAGGCAGGACATCTGAGTTGAACGAGCCAGCTATGAGCTCAGAAAGAACAAGAAAGTTTGAGCTAATTTAGCAGGAGGACTCTGAAGCTAAACACTTCCTAGGCTTAGGTAAGATTGTAAGGAGGACATAAGCTTCTAGAACTTGTCCTAGGTCATCAGAATGAGGCAATAAACCTCCGAGGCAACAACTGAACAAGGAGAATAAAACTTAACTTTGTACAGATACATCAAACACAAATATACATGCACAAACATACATATCCATACAATTACACATACTCGCCTAACAAACATGAGGATAATAATCCAGTCGTTTCTAAAAACAATTACACCATATAAAATTTTAACAAAAAATTAAGACCATACTTTCGAAGGACCTTAAATGGAAATACATTAAAATAGTAATCTGGGGACAGAATGAATGAGAAATGCCTAACTGGCTGAGAAGAAAATGGGGTGGACACACACACACACACACACACACAAAGAAATGTGTGCATGCATGTTAATGAAAAAGAAAAAAGATTGTAGAGAGGC